CCCACCCCACCCCACCCCACCCCAGCCAGGCTGCGGGTCACTTGTGAGTCGTTGATCGGACTCCGGATCGTGTGGCCGGCGCTCCTGTGGAGACCCTGGCCCTCGTCGGCCGAGCTGCGGCCGCAGTGGCAGCTTGGGGGAATTTGGGCAATTCGTGAGGCCCCCAGAGCTCGCATTTGTTCTTTGTTAAGGAACCCCCTCTGGGCAAATCGCCGCTGTGGAAGGAAAGAATCGAACCCAACGAAAAAAACCTTATATGTAGGTTTCATGAGAACCTTGGAAAGCCACTTATTTAAACAATTCTACTGCGGTTGGGAGAGAACTTCACACTGCTTTTACCCGTCGTCCCACGGTCAATTTTAAAAGTGTTTGAATACGTGCACTTTAAGAAAAAAAAAAAAAAAAAGCTATGCTTATTGTCATTTATGTCAACCTGCTAATAATTTTTTAAATTTCCACGCCTTTGCTTTATGACTTAGGTGATTTATCCAGACTGTTTCCAAAGCATTTAAAACAGTTACATCATATATGATAGGAAGTGAAACTGGTTGGTTTTATGAGCGCCCGGGTAATCTCTCTTTGGGGTAGAAGATTGAGATCGTTAAGTACAGTCAAAACAAAAATCCATTTGCTTTAAGACTTTTTCTTTAACCTTCAGTCTAGCCGGGGAAGGATTTCACTTGGAGAAGTTTGGTTTCTCTCATTTTAAAAGAGAAATTAAGAATTTCTGACCTTATTTTGACTTACTAAAGACTATTTGCTTTAATGAACTGGGTGTTTTAGTAGTAACTTACATTGTATTCAGGCCATGTTACTAGGGAAATATGGCCGGTATCTGAAGGTGAAATGTTTACCTTGGGCAGCCTATTATTACATATATTTTGGGAGAAAGGTTCTGACATTGTAGGAATTTATGAGTTATGAGGCATGAGACGGAGATTCAAAATTTAAAAATAATTTTTTATTTTTTAAAGAGAAGTGATACATTTATATGGTTAAAAAAAGATATTCTCTGAGATCTATACCTGTCTATACCCATTCTCTCATATGTAACCATTTTTCTAGTTTATTTTTCAAGTGTTTCTTTTTGCAAATATAAATGTTTATATTATAGTATATTAATATATCTATATATGTATGTGTGCTGTGTGTATACAGTTCCTGCCTTTATCTCACATAAAATGTAGCAGAGCATATACACTGCTTTTCCTTTTTTTTTTCGTTAACACTATCCTTAGAGATTTCTCTCTATCAGTGCATAAAGCTCTTTCCCATTCTTCTTTACACTTGCATAATATTTCATGTACAATAATTGATCTAAAAAGTCCCTCATTGATGGAAATGGGTTGTTGACAATCTTTTGCTATTATTATATATATTAGAATCTTTTGCTATTACAAATAGTGCTACAGTGAAAAAGCTTGTACATGTGGCATTTTGCACATACACAGATGTATCTGCCTTCTGGATTCCCAGAAGTGGGTTTGCTAGATCAAAAGTAAATCCATCTGTAATTTCGGTAGCTGTTACCGCTTCCATTGGCAGAGATTGAGGGTGCTGCTACCTGTAAGCAAGCTATGGGAGTGCCTGTTTCCACTGCCTCTCCTATACACTGTTGTCACATTTTTGCCAATCTGTTGAGTGAGAAATTGTATCTCAGTGAGGTGAATTTCTCAGAGAGGTTGAGTATTTTTCTGTGGAATGCCTTTTGTTCATTTTTTGAATTGAGTTTATTTTTTTCCAATTTCTGGAAGTTCTGTTTGTTGTCCCAGTTTATCATTTCTCTTTTGACTCTGCTTGGTGTTTTTTTTGTTGTTGTTTATTTGACATGTAGAAGCTTATTTATATATAGTTGACTTTATCTAGCTTTTCTTTTGTGGCTTCTGGATTTTGGGTCATAAGAAATATTGATTTCATTTGTATACTGAGCTGATAGCTAGAAGAAAGTATTGCTTTTAAATCTTTTTTTTTTTTTTGCAAAAATCATGTAATTTCTTTGATAGAAAACCTGGAGGTCTTCCTTAGCTTGAATCTCTCACACCCAGTATGCAGTGCCATCAGCAAGTCCCATTGTCTGTTTCTCCAAAACACCCCAAATTCCACACTTGCACTGTTCCCACCCTGGTCCAACTCACCAACCTGTCACTGGGACTGTCACTGCGACTAAGAGTGTGCAGTAGCTTTCTGACTGATTTCCCTCTTCTGTTCTCATTCCCCACCCCCTTCTTCACTTGGAGAGACAGAATGGTTGTTTTAAAATGCAAATTAGATCTTGTCACCCCCGCCAGTCTCCTAGCTCAGCACTCTTAAATAGCTGCATGGCTCTCTGGCACTGATCAAATGTCACCCCCTCAGAAAGGCAGGCCTTCCCTGACCACTCTATCAAAAAGTAAATCATATCACGTTTTTACCCTTCTCCCATTATTTTGGGTTTTTTTCTAAGTGCTTAATGTCACCTGACATTATTTTACATGTTTTTTTTTTTTTTTGGCTGAGCAAGACTGGCCCTGAGCTAACATCTCTGTGCATCTTCCTCTACTTTATGTGGGAGGCCGGCACAGCATGGCCTGACAAGCGTGCGTTCCAGTCAGCACCTGGGATCTGAACCTACGAGCCCTGGGCCGGCCCCTATGTTTCTTTTTGTTTGCTTACCCCACTAGCACCTGAGCTCCCATGGAGAACTTTGCCTAGGTGGTGTTTTTTAAGCCGTGGTTGGTTGGGCATGTGGAACTAGGAGCAAGCAGAGTTCTCTGGGAACCATAGTCGCTGATTTATGAGCATTGCCATCGTGCGTTCTTCCTCAGGGACGCTGTGTTCCACTGAGGCCCGGAATGCAAACTGTCTGGAAACCCCGACTGGTGGTGCCCTGGGCTGTCTCACACCCATTCACAAGCCCTCTTCAAATCTCCTTCCAGCCTTGTGTCAGCCAAACTCCTGAGCAGCGAGGGGAGGGGTCTGAGGCAGTGCCACGCCTGGGTCCCGCCATCGGGAAAAGAAGCAGGAAACTTTTGGACGCTGCCTCTCATAGTGGTGGTAGTGACACTGGGAATCAGTGAGAGGAGACAGAGACTCTTGGGGACAGAGCTGGGGACTCTTCTAGCTGCCTCTTTCTAGGGCTAAGCTCAGGGGCCTTGGGTCTTACTTTCTTCTGGAAAAACACTGACTGCTGCTGAGTGTTCTGACCACCTCTGAGAGAATGCTCTTTTAATTTTAATATAGCATATGAATTGATATTTAAGATGTCCATTTTCAGGTGTATAAATGATAAATATAAAATAAATCTTTTGCTTTTAGGAATTATCCCTGATATCCCATGTACATATTTTTCTTGCTTCTAGAATGTTTGAAGCCCACATGCAGAGCTACAAGGGCCATGATCCACTTGGTGAATGGGAAAGGTTAGCATTTAGTTTATTTTTTTCCTATAAACAAACTATGTGCTGTCCTGAAAATTAATATTGCCTGTGTCTTTCTAGTTACATTCGGTGGGTAGAAAAGAACTTTCCTGAAAATAAGAAATACTTGACAACTTTATTAGAAAATTTAATGAAGGAATTTTTAGATAAGAAGAGATACCACAATGACCCAAGATTCATCAATTATTGTTTAAAATTTGTAAGTATACTTTCAGATGTATAATCAAATCTATAATCATGTTGCACTATTGCTTTTTTCCCCAGATTTTAAGATCATTTTAGACTGTCTTTTCTTTAATTCCTTATGTTTCCAGTCATAAATTTTTAAAAGTTGTATGGCCAGAGATGTGTATTTTAAAACTTTTTAGCTTCTGTATTGTGGACTCAGTGATTTAATTTTAAAACCCTCTTTCTCTGTGTATCAAGTCTTTAAATGTTACAACACGAGATAGAAACCATTAAATTAAAAGAAAGTGTGTTGGATGAGAAGTGTGCTTGGGGAAAGGGGGATAAGCAAGCACTCCCAGGTACTAAGAGAGTTCCTGGGAATAAATTAACTTCATCCTGAATAATTAAGAAAATATGAACTCACAGAAATTAAATTTAGTACTAAAAAGAGAAGGCTGCCTCAGGTTAGACTTTAAAGGTTGGGTCTCTTCAATCTTGAAATAAAGGCTTGGGGACACAAGTTCTAGTAATAAAATCATGGATAGAGTAAACATGGGTTTGTTCACTAAATTACAACATACTCGGATTAGAGGCACCCTCTGGAATTTGAGCAAGCTCAGATTGAGACAGAAGTAATACTTATGTAGTGGGTTATTATAGAACCTGCTATCTTTGGGAAATAGTGTGGGTAATTATGGGGGCATTGAATGTGAACGAAAGGAATGAGCTTAACTTTTAGGTTTGCCGTCAGAGAACCACACAGGTCTTCCTCTCTGCAGTACATCCTGAAGCCTCCATGAAGACTGAACATTGGGGCTGACTGTACGCTGGGCCAGATCTACACTAGCAGTTCCTTCCTGTGTTCTGATGTCTGTTTGCTTTGGGTTTTTGTAGGCTGAATACAACAATGACTGTCATCAGTTTTTTGAGTTTCTGTACAACCATGGGATCGGGACCTTGTCCTCTCCACTGTACATAGCCTGGGCTGGGCATCTGGAAAGCCAAGGAAAGCTGCAGCATGCCAGCGCTGTTTTTCGGAGAGGAATTCAAAATCAGGCCGAACCTAGCGAGCTGCTGCAACAGCAGTACAGGTAGCTTGAAAATAAAATTCCACATGGTATTTCCTGCTTTGAAATGTACTGTTTGCTCTTAAAAATTTTTACTACCTGTTTATACAGGAAAATCCTTCTCATTGTAGAAGATGTGGATAATACAGAATAGTGTAAAGGAAACGAAACTGCCCAGAAATATCACTGTTAACATTTTGGTGCATTTCCTTGCAGTATCTTTTCCTATGCCTGTGTGTGTGTCTTTGTGTTTGTGTATTTTAACAGTAAGTCATATCGTATGTCTGGTTATATATACTGACCTTTCTATTGCTCTTAAGAAATTATGGACTTTTATGTATTGATAAAGTGGTATAGAGTCTGTCCCAGAGTTGTCATAATTTAACTGTTCTCCAACTGAATAATTAAGTTGTTTCCAACATTTTGATTTTTGACAAAGAACAACATAATGAATATCTTAATGAATAACTTGTTTTTCATAATTTTTTACTTTTTCTGTGATTAACTGCACGTTTAGGGAATTCAGAAAATTACAGAAGCAGAAGAAACCGTCTGGCATTTATTTTAGTGGACATTTTTTTCTCTGCTTGTTATTTAGAATTGCAGGCACACTTTATATACATATGCAGCTTTGTGTCAGGTCTTTTCCCTTTATCATAAAAGTATTTCCTAATATATTTCCCATTTTTCTCTAATTCCTTCTGATAGATTCTCAAAATTGAAACTAATGAGTCAGAGGGGGTATGAAGTATGAAGAGTTTTAAGGCTTGTGGTACATATAACCAAATTATGTGCTCAAAGGTTAAACCAGTTTTTTGCCATCTCTCTCTCTAGCAGCATATGAGCCAACTTACCTCACTGTACACCTTGTCAGCATTTAATATGTTCATTTTTTTTCAACTTTGCTACAATGCTCATGCTCTTTTCAATAATTATTAACATTAGATGATTATTTTTTTATGCTGAAGAATTTGAAACAAACCCAAGACAGCAAAATATTTTACCCCAAACACTTCCTTAAACATCTCTACAAGGTGGTTTCTTACAGAAACTTACACTGTTTTCATACCTAACAAAACAAACAATAATTCTTTAATAACATTAATTTTTAGTCATTCCTCATTATGTAAAATGGTGGAGCTTTTTACCATTGGTTTGTTTGAATTAAGAGTCAAATAAGATTTGGCGTTTGGTTGCATTTCATTGTACGTCTCTTAGTCTCTTTATACTGTGCACTCTTGCTCACATCACTGAAAAATGTCCAACTTGGAAGTTGCGTATTACTTGACGGATTGAGTTGGTGTGCAAAGGTGCCGTGAAATGACGTGTTTAAGAAGTTCTCACAGCATGAACAATAATATATCTGCCTTCTGAAGTAGTAGTCTGTGTTTTGCACTTTCACTTCTTTCTTCCAAACATGATATTCGGTATATTCCACATGTATAGAATGCTTAAAACAGAGAGTTCAAACACCCCATATTGTAACGTCTGCATACACAGAGAAGGAGGGTACATTTGTTATGTGAATTTGAGAAATACTGCCATAAACTAGGCAAAAGGAGGAAGTTTTCTAATATAAGTGTATTGGATATAAAGATAATCCCAGAATTCTTTTTTAATTTTGAAGCAACTCTAAAATTCAACTTTACATTCTCTCTTGACCTCAGTTTTTAGTAGTTTATAATAAGCTATTATATTTAATTTTTGCTTTAATACAAATATGTATTAAACTGAAGTTTATGATCTGTATCGATGCCTTTCTTCTGTCATTTAGGTTGTTTCAGACACGCCTCACCAAAACCCATTTGCCAGCTCAAGGTAAAGTAATGCTTTCTAAAATGTCTAAATTGTTGATAATTTTGTCTCTGATTTGCACTGCTTTTTTTTTTTTTCCTTAAAAAACAAACCCATTCAGTGTTTATTGATTGTAATGTCTTAGGTAATGGGGAAGGTGCTCTGGTAGTAATAATGCCCACTAAGTAGCCCTGGAGAGCAGGAGTTCCTGTCTTAGCAGGTTGAAAGAGCAAATCCACAGGATAACTTGGTGACTTAATTGTATTTTTAGGATTTAAAAAAAAAAAATCAAAATTGCCCAAAATAGAGGACAGTACTTACTCTGGAGTCCATCTGTTCTGAATTGAAGCAAATGTGTGTACTGCACTTTTTAAAGAAATGTGGTTATTTTTTTTCCCAGAAATAAAGATTACATTTCAGCACTAAGCATTTACTATCCTATCCTGTTTAAAATATCTAGTTAGAGTTTACATTTCTTTCAGGTACTTCCTTGGGCATTTTGAATTCATCAGAAAATTGTCTCTATACTGTTTCTCTTACCTAAAAAGTGTTTTAGTTACATTTTCTGAGACAACGTGAATGAGCTGATTTATTTCTTGTGCTGCTTACTGAAAGATCAGGGGAATGTATTTGTAATTTTATTTAATATGGTTTTACTTCTCTTTATTTCATACTTTCCTCCCCATAGCTGGAACCTCAGAACCTCTACATAATAGTCAGATTTTAAACCAAATGATGACATCAAAATCAAATCCGGGAAATAACGCAGCCTGCATTTCTAAGAATCAGGTAACAATAACATTTGTGGGTTGTGTGGAAACTGGGAAGGTTATTGAATGGTCATCCGGCTGCCTTCCATGTCCACTTTGGCATCTCATTTCTTTGACCGTGTCTCCCATGACTCTAACCTTCATGTCAGCCACCTGCACCTGTGGCAACTTGCTGGCCTGTCGTCATCTACCACTGTTCACCTCAAATATTAAATTTAAATAACTTGTTCTCTGACCATAATTTCCTGCATTGATCTGACCTAGGGGCCCCCACTACACAACCTCCTGTCTTCACTTCCTTCCCTGAAGCTTCTCTCCTTTGTTCTGCTGGCCTCCCCCCTTGAGCCCTGGCTAAAAAACTCAGAGCTTCTAATGTGGTGCCTGTAGCCTCAACCAGGGCTTTACTTCTCTCCAGCAATTATGTTTCCAGTTTCCTGGCTCACTCTTTATGTTTTAAGTATCTCTTATGTTTTCCATTTCACTCTTTAATGCCAAATTACAGTGCTTTTAAACTTTTCTTCACTTTCCTCAAATTTGGGACTTGGCTACCTCTAACCTCTCGCCTGTGAGCTGACAAAATACTATTTCAGTGAGACAGCAGAAGCCATCAGATGACATCTGTCAATTTTCTGCCACCAACCAGTAAATGTAACTGCGTCCTTCCCTGCCATCGTGTTGGGGAAAGCAGGCCTTCCACCTGTGCTTGTCTTTTATCCTCCTCGAGATTTTTGCCTTATCGAGACCTCTTCTGGCCTGATGGCTTATCAACATGGAAGAATGCTCAAGTCTCTCTTTCCTCAGCCTTGTTGCTCAGCATCTGTCTTCTTCGTAGTACAATTGCTCTTTCAGAGTTTGCTAGGACCCTCTTTAAGCTAAATCCAATGGAAAAGCCTCTGTTCTTAGTGCACATGTGAAAGTTTTATTAATGTAACATATTCCTAGAAGTAGAATGTGAATTCCTAACTATGACAGATACTCACACTATCCCAATTTACATCCTACGCATACTTCCAGCCTCATTACTTCCTATCGCTCCGACCGTCTGTAAGTGTTTAGACAGCAGAGGGGGTCTTGTTTGCGGTCATCTTCCCAGCACTGGCTCAGCACGTGGCATGTATGAGGTGGTCATTAAATATTTGTTTAGTGAATGAATGCTAGCACTGGGAACCCCTGAAGGTAGAATAGTATCAGAAGAAAATCTTTAAATGTAGCTATTTGGAATGTTAATCCTATAATACTTAGGTACTGTGGCCCAGCTCCTAGACTATGGCTCAAAGGGAAATAAGTGCCCTCTCTACTACCAAATAGAAATTTTAAGTCACTTTCTCACTGGACTCTAGTTGCGAAAGTTATCATAATGTTAAGAATGCAAACTACAGCTTCAGATATTAATCATCACTTTGAAGAACATACACAAATCTGCTTAAGAGGCCCCTCAAGCATTTCATATTGTTTTGTGAAGTAATTTGGATGATGGTTTCTTTTCGAGTGAGTGTTTCTTTTCTGTCTTTTTAGGGTTCAGAACTTTCGGGAGTGGTATCTTCAGCTTGTGATAAAGAGTCAAATGTGTAAGTACGATCAGTGCATTAATCTATCGCACAGTTTCCTTCAAGAGCTGCTTCAGTACACTGTTGTAAATAATATCCTTTTCCCCATTATAGGGAACAAAGGGTGATCATGATTTCTAAATCAGGATATTCTGTACCCCCATCTTTGGCAGCCAAAGCTGATGTTCAGCAGGTTGTTATGTATTGCAAAGAGAAGCTTATTCGTGGAGATTCAGAATTTTCCTTTGAAGAACTGAGAGCCCAGAAATATAATCAACGGAGAAAGCATGAACAATGGGGTACTTGCAATGCTATTATTTGAGATATTCTTATGTCACTTAAAATAATCCTCATATCGGAGTAATTACATTTTTTAACAGATAATTGACTATGCTGAAAGAATCTGTGAAAATGTCTCCAGCTCATCCTATCAGAAGCCTAGAAATCTTTGTTAAATACTAGAGTGGCAGCCGTGTTTGTCCAAGAACTAAATTGATGTCTTGACAGCAAACCTTGAAGTTAAAACAGCACTACAGTAGATATCCATACCAGTGTTGCTTTAGCTTTTGGTGAACTAGATATTTATATTATCTGTATGGATTTGAACTTCTGTGTATAGCAGTTCTAAATCTCTCATCAGTTATTTGTACTATGAAAGAATGAAGTTAGGAACTGGAGTTGAGATTTTCTGAGATCTGCAACTACTCCGTAAGACATTCAGGAGTCCTCTGATAAAGTGCCATGTTATTTATGGCTGTATACTGGATCAGGTTTTACCCTCACAGGGAAAACTGACTGTTAATACCAACATTTGCAGTCGCCTTTGCTGTAACAATATGGACCTTGGATAGGAAGGTGAACCTTTGTTTCACTCAGGGCTTTTACACCATCTCGTCGTTTGCACTATAGCCGCTCTGCTGGCCCTCCTTGTTTGCTCATTCTTTCTCATTTGGTTGACAACTGGGAGATCAGTCAGCTAACACTTCACGCTCATGGAGGAACCCATGTTGTGCCGTTCACAGGTGCATTTTTCTTTCACATGCCGTGACCTACAGTCTTAGTCAGGCAATTTGATTTGTATGTGACGTGGTTGTGTTAACCCGTCATCAGAGGTAGGCCAACCCACAATATAATTTCAGTGCACTTTACTTTTATTTCTTCTCAGAAAGCAGCTAGAGATTTATATCTTTTAAAAACTGTTCCATTTTCAAATAATTTCCCCAAGCACCATCGTTATACAAGAAGTGCTTAGTATCATACTGTACTATTATCCAATATTATTGTTGATCAACATGGAAATTTCTGTGACTTACAAGCCCTGAACTTAAAAGTAACCATGCTGAGGGCAGGTAAAAATTATAATTAAAAGGTAATACACTTTTCAGTTCTAATAACCTAAGACACATGGAAAAGACTAGTGAAAAAAAAATACCATCTGGAAATTAGCCTTTCACTCATTTATGTGTATTCCTTTGATGGCCTGAATTTAAACTTTGCATGCAAACCATTTTTTTCCTCTCCTAAAGTAAATGAAGACAGACATTATATGAAAAAGAAAGAAGCAAATGCTTTTGAAGAACAACTGTTAAAACAGAAGCTAGACGAACTTCATAAGAAGCTGCATCAGGTGGCAGAGCCGTCCCCTGAGAACCTGACAGCTTTCCAGGAAAGCTCTGAGGTGTGTATGCTCTTCACTGATGTTTCCCGTGCCCAGTAAAATGGATTTCCATTTTTATTTGCTCCTTTCTATGCCCTACTTTTAGAGTTAATTCTGATGTTAATTTAGCCACTAGCTTTCTGAATTTTTAAAATAATTTGACACAGAAAGATGTTCAAAATGTACAATGAGAAAAGGAAGTTACAGAACAATTTATAGTATGTTTTTATATATATGTGTGTACATTTTTATATATTTATGTATTAGTTTATATAGTCCTTTTTCTGATTTTTTTTGGTACAATAACTATTATATAATGAGATTTGAATATGATAATTTCATTAATTTGTCATCTAGGTACATTTTCTGTTTGCCATCGTTTCATGTTGGAAGAGGGGAGAGGTGGTGAATGTGTTACAGCCACATATATTTTCTTAAAATTGTTAATGAATAGGGTAGATTGGGAATAAATGAATTTAAGCTGTATAATGGGTTGCTTAAACTTGCACTTAGTGTATGTCTATCTGTGCTATAGGATACGATGACAATAAAACATCCTATTTTCTTACATATTTTAAAAATTGTGACAATATATGACTGATTTTTAAAAATTTGATGAAATGTGTGTGTATGTATATGTGCATGTGCGTATAGTACATATATAAATGAACACTCTCTTTCATTGCTAACTACTGTAGTTTGTATTTTTCCAGACTTTTACTGAGCATGAACACACATAAATATGAATACAATTTGAAGTTTCTACAGAAGTATTTTCTGGTTTTTCTCCTAACCCATCTTAAACAGATCTTTCCCTGTTATTACATAGAGATCTAACTCATTCTACTCGCAGCACAGTCTCTGCGCCGTGTGGAGACTGTTACCAATCATGCTGCAGTGAGCATTCTTGTACACTTGAGATTATTTCTCTAGAAAAGATGCAGAGAAATAGAATTGCTGCCTTTGAAGCTTGAGCACCTAAAATACTGTCAGTCTGCCCTCCAAAAATTGACTACGTTAACACTCACATTAATAGTGAATAAAAGTCCTGTTTCTTGTATACACTTGGCTAACGTTAGCTATCCTAAATATTTTCAACCATTTGATGTATGTTTTTATTCAATTATAGGTGAATTTGGACTTTTTAAAATACATTTAGTGGCTGTTTGTTTTTTTTTTCTTTAAATTGACTTTGATAGACTTTGTCTATTTTTCTATGGGATTGTTTTGTTTTTTCTTATTTATTTGGATTTCCATTCTTGTATAATTTCTGTTTTCCGTGGAGTGTTCCAAGAAATGTTAGAATAGTTGTCTCGTTTTCTTTCGCTATATTTTTTTGGTATAGCAGACGTTTATCCCCAAACTCTCTGAAGAAACTGTGAATATCCTTTCATTCTGTTCAAAAGCATCAGACTCTCTTAGTTTCACTTTTCTTGGCCACATGGCTCCCAGAGCCTTCTGTCCTCCTGCGGGCGGGTTTCGCAGCAGCTGTCCTCCCCTTTCCTCTCTCCTGGGGTGGATCCCTGTTTGTTTTCTGGTTCCCATGGCATCGTTCCTCCTCAAGTGACCCCATTTTGGTGGCCCACAGTGTCCAAGAGCTTTTTTTTAAAAAGTATTGGGGGTTAATTTTTGAGATCTCTTGCACATCTAAAAGCATCTTTATTCTACCCTTTCACTGGGGTGATAATTTGGCTGGGTGTGTCGTTCCGGGAGGGAAATCCTGTTCCCTCAGCATTTTTGAAGGCGCTGCTCCAGTCTTGCCTTCCATGTTGCTGCTGAGAAGCTCGGAGTCATTCTGAATCCTGGTTCTCCGACTGTGACCTCGTTGTTGTTGATCTCTGGACGTGTGTCGGATTGTCTCTCCCCCCAGTGCTGTGACGTGATGGTCATGTGCCAGGTGTCTATCTTTCCATCCGTTACACTCAGTACTTGAACGTTCTAGTCCTGCAGTTCTGGGGAATTTTATTGATTTTTTTTTTTTTTTAAATGATACTTCCACAGGCACAGTCTCTGTTCTTGTTTTCTGTAGCTCATATTTAATAGTAGACTGTCTCAGACTGATCCTCTGATTTTTCTTAACTTTTTTCTCCAATTTTCTATCTTTGTGCTTTTTCCTCCTAACTTTCTGGGAGATTTCCTTAACTTTTTTATGGCCCTCTTATTAAATTCTTTTATTTCTGATGTCATTTTTAGGATCAAACAGCTTTTTTATTTTGAATGTTCATTTTCCTAGTTGCTTATTCTTAGGTGAATGTAATATCTTATCTGTCAGTCTAAGCATATTAATTTTTTTCTCCTATCTCAGAATCCTTTATTTCCCTTTATTTATTTTATTTGTAAATTACTATAAATTTTATAAATAAAGGAGTTATGAATATTTGTAAATCTGTAAACAAGGATTATTTATAAATTATTTTATTGTAAGTGTCATTTATTTGTTTTGGTCTTTGTGCTGCATATTGAAAGCTTATCATCACATCTGACGATCTGTACTACCAACTCATCCAAAAGCTGCCCTGAAAAAGCTGATTGCAAGCCCTAGGTGCGGGAGGGGGCTAGTTGACACATCAGCCTCACTGGGAGGTGTCTAATTTTTTGGGCAGATATATTCCAGAAAACAATCTTTTATTTAGATTTGAGAGTATAAATTCAGCTGCTAGCAATTGGGGAGCCCAGGGAAGGGGCTAGAGGTCCCGCTGTTAGGGAAGTAGACTGACTCAGCCCTTTTGTTTCTAGTGTGGTCTCTGGTACCACCACCTTCTGCCCTAGTCCAGAGTCCTTTTGATTCAGTTTCTCCGGGAAGGAAACCTCCAGCCTGCTGCCAGGTGGGGCGTGGAGAATGACCCCCTGCATGCACCTGCAAGGACAGGACTCAGAGTCTGCTTTTTAGACAGACGTACTATTGCCGTGTTCTTGTTTTCAGTGCCACCTTCACTTTATTCTGAAATCTATCTCAATTTCTGAACTTCTCCAGAGATCAGCCTCCTCCAACTGCTGTTTTAGGTGTAAGAATTCTTTCACTGTCATTTTGGTGAGGCTTTGGGAGGGAGTAAATGATAAAGCACATGTTTAAGCCACTGTCTTTAACCAGAAGCCTCCCTTTGTGGGACTTATTTTTTGTCTGGATGGCGTAAGGATATATTTACCAAATGGATTCCTCCTTGTCCCTGAATCGTTTATTGGCCAGCTCAGCCTTTCCCCACTGATTTAAAATATCTTTATCACATACTAAATTTTTAATACAAGATCCATTTCTAAAATATCTGTACCTTTATTTTGGTCAATAGGTTTCTTCTTGATCATTCCATATTGTGTATTTACCACAGCTTTGTTGTATGTTTTGGTTTCTGGTAGAGGAAGTCTGATTATTCTTTTTCAACATATTTCTTCAGAATTGAATATTATGATTGTTTTTATTCTTTACTAATTTGGTAGGTGAGAAAATGGTATTGGTCATTCTTAATTATCTTTTTTGATGACTAGTGAGGATGAACTTTTTATATTTTGCCCATTTGTCTGTAAAGTAAGGATTCTTGTCCTAGATATTTGGTGCTTTTCTTAACAATTTGAGAATACCTTCAAATCGTGAGGAATTAACTCTTCTGTCTTTTAACTTGTTAACATAGTCAGTTGCAGTCCAGGTACATGTGAGTAGAAAAGGAAAGATTTCAAGTTAAGAGCTTGTTATCCTTCCCATTGTGAGCCATGATTTTGTGGCAATTATTATTTTAATGGAAGGAACACCATTATGAGCATTTGATAACATTGATTTGTTGGTCTTTTCCCAAAATTAAGTACAGAGAAATAAGTCAGTTCTTAAACACTGATAAAACAATAGAGGCTGGTTATTTCCGTGTTAGAAAGTAAAAGCTGCCAGTTGTGTCTGTTGTTAAGAAGCTACAAAGGCATCCATCATGTGGAGTGTTCTCCGTTGTTGTCGACTGTTCATTTCAGAACACCTGACAGGGTAAGGGGCTGCCTCAGAGGGAAGGGACTCTGCTGAAGACAGATGCCAGTCTTTGAAAGCTGTAATATCTAATTAATAATATTCTGGACTTCATGGCGTTTTTTTTGTTTGCTTAACATGAAAGGTTAATCCAGCACATGTGGGTCCAAGTGTAGGCTCCCAGAAGGAACTGAGAGCTCCATCTCTTCCAGCCGTCAGTCAGCAGACCTCAGAGGACGTGGGAGAGAAACCCAGAGAGGCAACTCCTGGTGTTCCTCTTACGGCGAATGCTGGCACTGTTGCTTTGGCGTCCCCGTCTGTCAGCCAGAGTGTCGCTCCTCCCGTTCCTTTGACGGCCCAGCCAGTGACAGACTCTGTGTTTGCAGCGGCCACAAAAGCTGTCAGGTAAGCTGAAGGGAGTCCTGGAGATGGTGGTGATGCGGGTGCCGTCTGTCAGCTTCCTTACATGATCTGCAGTATCAAGAGCAGTATGCAAAAGATGAATGATTCTGTTCTTTAAAATAATTTTTAAATGGGCATGTTGTTGAAAAACCAAGTCACCAAAACATTAGCCTCAAATCTTTCAGACTTACTTATTCCATGCTTCTTTTAGAGTATTTATTTTACTTCATACTTTTCTCTTGAATTAAAAATTTTAGTACCCTGGAACTCAAGAGTCTTTTTGTAACTGAAGAACATACAGCTGTTAAGCTGAAATTGCGTTTGCTTACTGGCTTTGTAGAGATTATTATTATCCAGACAGTTCCTTGACATGTGTTCTTCTCATATTGCTTCTGTCTTCCCACTGGGAGCAGTTTGGGATTAATATCCATTGTACAATATTCCCAAATCTATCTTTACACTGCTGTACGGGTTTTTCCCCAATGTTGAGGGATTTTCCTAGATTTCAGAAATTACAATTAATGTCACATCACTTGTTTTGTTTAAATTTTTATCTTCTTTCACTTTGGCACGCTCTCTCTCGCTTTTAAACATATAACAATTTTATTGATACATTAAAAAAAATAAAAGCTACAGAATAACTCACATTCTCCCCTTGGGCTAAACCCCTTACTTCGTATAGATTATAGTTCTTAAGTACTGGTTCTCTTCAAAGTCCAAGGTTAACTTTTGTTAATGATTTCCCCTGGAAATAAGATTTAAAATCATCATGCTTTTTCACTCACATTAGGGTAATAGTTCAGACCAGTGTCCTGTATCATACGATGTATGTAAGAAGAGGACTGTTGTGTGGGGGCTCTGACTCCATTAGTCTTTCACAGTTAATTTATCAACTATAAAATGGTAAAAACAGCAGCAGTGACAGCCCTGTAGGGATGATGCATGTCCAGCCACTCCTACAGAGATGGAGTCGTGAGGTTATGGGAGCCAGAGACAGGTGTCCCTTATCAAATTGTGAAACTCTAACCTAATGAGCGTTTAGATCTCAGTCAGAAGCACTTCAGATTGACCCTGACCCTGGCTCAGGCAAGGGACTGAATGGACCCCCCCGGCACTCTAAGTAGCCTGGACAGCTGACCACAGCAGAGTAAGGGTGCCTTTCTCTGTATTCTCATGTAAAACCTCATGTTTTCATGACAGTTTAGTGGGGATTTGTAAAAGTAAAAGTGTTGTGCACTTTTTACTTTACATCTTTTTTTTGTGTGTGAGGAAGATCAGCCCTGAGCTAACATCCGTGCTAATCCTCCTCTTTTTGCTGAGGAAGACTGGCTCTGAGCTAACATCTATTGCCAATCCTCCTCCTTTTTCTCCCCAAAGCCCCAGTAGATTGTTGTATGTCATAGCTGCACATCCTTGTAGTTGCTGTATGTGGGACGCCGCCTCAGCATGGCCGGAGAAGTGGTGCGTCGGTGCTTGTCCAGGATCCGAACACTGCTAGAATTCCCTCAGTGGACCCAGTTAAGATGTAAAGTTGGGGCTGGCCCCGTGGCTTAGCGGTTAAGTGCTCGCGCTCCGCTACTGGTGCCCCGGGTTCGGATCCCGGGCGCGCACCGACGCACCGCTTGTCCGGCCGTGCTGAGGTGGTGTCCCACATACAGCAACTAGAAGGATGTGCAACTATGACATACAACTATCTGCTAGGGCCTTGGGGAGAAAAAGGGAAAAAAGAGAGGAGGATTGGCAATAGATGTTAGCTTAGGGCCGGTCTTCCTCAGCAAAAAAGAGGAGGATTGGCCTGGATGTTAGCTGAGGGCTGATTTTCCTCACAAAAAAAAAAAAGAAAAGGAAATGAGAGAAAATAAAACAAACATTTTATTTACTTGTACTATGGACCTAAGCAGTTCCATCTGTATTTTAACAATAAGCTTGTAATTGTTGACATTTTTACTGTTCTTTCTTTGAGTTAGTGTCTCAAGACTTTTCTCTTCCAGATGTGTGAATAAAAGTACTCATGAACTTAAGCCACAGAGTGGAGCAGAGATAAAAGAAGGTAATGTTTGATTATAACAGATTTCTTCCCAGACTCCTGCAGGTCGCTCAGAGGTCTGTTTGGTGGCTGTGGTTCATGAAGGCTTCAGACCTTAATGAACCTGGGTGTTAACTTTTCTGTTATTAGAATGTAGTGGTTAGATAAGCCTCAGATCATTTCAAAGGAAGTAAAAATCCATTTGTTAGTCACATCTTATTAGACTCCTTTGTAAACTTGATTTGTGAAAACTTTTCTATTAAATTTCTCAGCAGATTAATCCAAAACAAGAGTCATCTAATATGTTGTGAGGTAGGAAAGGTGATTAAAAGTTTAATTGGGAGTGCTATACTTCTGTTTGGTAGTACTTTGTTAGAGATATTTGCATAAAAGGTAAATTTTATAAATAAAATAAGACACACAGATTAGGCGTTCACCTTTTCCTGCCATGTGACTGTCACATCTTTTCCAATTACGGTTCAGTGGGGAGCAGAGCTACTCCAAACAGCTGGAGACACCTACATATAATGAGACTTACTGAGCACTCGCTAAGGGCCAGGCACTATTCTAGATAGTTAGGGGCACAGTCATGAACAGCAAGGACGAAAATCCCCAGTGTTGCTGTTAGGGAGGGGGATTGACATTTCCAAGGTGACCGGGAAAGACGCTCACAACGTGATGTTAAGGTAAAGGCCTGAAGGAGAGAGCTGCCCACGCGGCTAGCTTGGAAGACCTGTTTCAGGCAGAGGGGAGAGCAGGTGCGGAGCCCTGAGGCGGGAATATTCCTGATGTATTCTAGGCACAGCACAGAGGCCCAAGTGGCTGGAGTGAGTTGGGGGAGAAGAAGAAAGATGAGGTCCGAGTGACCAGACCTGGGTCGTGCAGGGCCTTGTATGCCTTCTATGCGCCGTTGTCCACTCCAACCAAGTGAGATGAAAGCTAGTCTTCAGATTTACAATGTGACTGTTAACATGTATTTCTTGGGATACTGTGGAGCGAAGGGTGCCATTTATGATAAGGCTGCTAATTAAACCAAGCCACTTAATCTCTTTGATCTTTCATTTCCTTTTTTGCAAAAGGATAATTCTTGCCTTACCTACCTCATAGGACTGTTATAAAGATAAAAATGAAAGCTATGGAAGCCCTTATTGATAATTATCAACAATAATAAAATGTTTTAATTGTAATGTGTTTCTTAAATTGTGTGCCTCCTAAATTATTCTGATTTTCCTACCGACATTGCATTTTGCCCCCATTCCTTCAACAGGATGTGAAACACATAAAGCTGTTAACACAAGTTCTTTTCACACAACTCCAAACACATCACTGGGAACGGTTCAGGCAACACCATCCAAAGTGCAGCCGTCGCCCACCGTGCACACGAAAGAGGCCTTAGGTAAAGTCTTTTGTTTGAAGGCGTGACACCTGACAACAAATTAATGAAAGCTCTTTTGCAACCATGTTTACAGTTATTCGTTCTGTTCTTTTAAGGTTTCATCATGAATATGTTTCAGGCTCCTACACTTCCTGATATTTCTGACGACAAAGATGAATGGCCATCTCTTGATCAAAATGAAGATGCATTTGAAGCCCAGTTTCAAAGTAATCACAATTTATTGAAAAGCTACTAAGTGCATGGCATTTTGGGTGGTTGCCACTGGCAATATCAAGGATTTTACAAGAAGTGGCCCTGCCCTTAATTAACTTGTCACACAGGGCAGGGAACGCATGAAGTAAAAAATGAGAGTGTTTGACAAGGTCCTCAATGTGCGTCATAGATTTGTTTTATTCCTTAAAAAATAATAATAAGTGCTGAAGGAGGACAAAGTCCCCGTGGGTGGGAATGGTCAGGAAAGACTGAGTGCTTGAGGTGTGACCTGAGCCTTGCCTGGTAGGGGAATGGCTGAGGTGGAGTGTTGGAAGCCAGCAACTAGCGCACGGTTGTCTAAAGTCAGGGCATTCATGCTGGAAGCCAGAGACATCATGATAAATAGAATCCAGTTAGACTCAGGAGGACATGAAATGTAGAGCCAAGAGATTAATTCTTCCTTGTAGGAAATGGAAAACAAATCCACTGAGAGTTTTATTCAGTGAGTCAGGTGACAACGGCAATGTTTTAGGAGAATGATGGACACCAAGCTTTATATGTGGCAGGAACTTGGGACCTGGAAGCTTGAGTACTAACCCCTGTGACTTCATTTCAATACAAAGTGACTTATCTCGTTACCTAGTATCGGCAAAACTGATAACAGTTCTTTTCTGTAAGCTATTATTCCATTTTCTTATTTATAATTGAAGTTTAGCATAAAAGATTGTGTTTTTTCCCTAATGCAATACTAAATGCTATTTTTTTCTCTGTTGCAGAAAATGCAAGGTCTTCTGGGGCTTGGGGAGTCAATAAGATTATCTCTTCTTTGTCATCTGCTTTTCCTGTGTTTGATGATGGAAACAAGGAAAATTATGGGTAAAAACCATCTAGTTACAATAGCATTGGGGGAGACACATGTCACAGTGACGTGGGATGCTGCAGAGGTTCCTCTGGGACTCATGGTGGTGAGAGAATCGGGCCTGCCGATCAAATGGTCTGGTCCCAGTGCCAGCTCTGCCACTAATGAGCCTTTTGACCACAGGACCAGGAGATTGTTGCTCAAGTTCTCCAGATCTTCAGTGCTGTGCAGAAGTTACAAGAAAGCAGACCTCCCGTAGCAAAAACATGTGTTAAAAAAGGAAAATAGTATGGGTATAAATTATCAGAACTGAGGGATTCTATAGATTTGGAATTGTATTAGATGTGAATGAATTCACCAGTAGAGGTATCCATACATGCCCTATTTATGTAAAGTAGAAAAGGAGGTGGCTTATATTGGGTCATGCTGCAGAGAGAATATGTGTTAAAGCTGAAGGAAATTACAGTAGAGAGCCCCTATCTGGAGGTGGAGTGGGGTAGCTCCAGGAATTTTCCCCATAAATCATTTAAACCATGGAAAGAGAGGCGTCAGTGTGAATGAAAGGTATCATGGTGTAGAAGAGACTCGTATTGAGGTAGAAAGGAGAAAGGGCCTGACCAGCTCTCAGAGGGAAATTCCATAGCTAGACCAAGCACTGGAAATAAGAAATAAAGTGTATGGCATCCATGACATTCTGTTGGTCATGGCCCTAACTCCTTTTTTGTTCCTAAAACTTTATAACTGAGTGTAATAGAAATTTCTGTATCTTCCACGCTGACTTAAGTAAATGTAAAACTACTTTCATATCCACAGTCATGTTAATTCAGTTTGCACTCAGTTTTGCTACAACTGCTGTGAAAGTAAGGAATGTGTGTATAAATATTAGCTAATTAAATAGAATAAGTGAGGAATGTTTCGAACATTCTCACTTAAGTGGTAGCATTTACGTCCTTAGCATAGTTTACTATTTATAATTTTGTAAATCTTTCCTTAGATTACCACAGCCCAAAAGTAAACCCACAGGAGCCAGGACCTTTGGAGAACGCTCTGTAAGCAGACTTCCTTCAAAACCAAAGGTCGGTAAATCTCGGCTTCATCCATCAAATGGATCTTACAACCCTTTCCTCTTCATTTTACCAAATGATTGAGCCAATTAAATAAGATAGTGTATACAAAACTGTGCTGAAAAATATAATGTTATATAAAAGAGTGGGTTTTTGGAACACTATTCTGTAATTATCTGAGTATCTATTATGTGCCAGGCCCTGTGATAGGGTTAGGGCAGAGATTAGAGGAGACTAGGGAGACATGGCGACTACATACAACATGGTGTCCTGGATCAGGTCCTGGAACAGACAAGGGACATTAGTGGGAAAATGATGAAAGCCAAAGAATGTCTATAGTTAATAGTATCGTTTAGTTTTTACAAATGTACCAGGTTCTATAAAATGTTAGCATTAGAAGTTTGATGACGGATATATGGGAACTCTGTACTATCTTTGTAATTCCTCTGTAAATCTAGACTCTTCAAATTAAAAAAAAAAAA